CCCCCCCCCCCCCCTACAAATTTAAAGCAAAAGGATGAAAAAACGCTGGTTCTGGATTTAAAATCAGAGAGTAAAGAAAAGTTATTTTGAAAAATTGATAAAGCTTTACATTTCTGGTATTTCTGAATGGACTAAAAAATTCATGAGTGAGTTTTTGCCACAGTCAGGCAGTGAAAACACATCCCAGTTCCTCCTGTGTACCTCTGGCTTTGTTCTGCTCAGCAGATGCTAAATGACTTTGAGTGTCTGGTGATTAACTATTACCTCGAGGATGCGACCCCTGCAGACTGGACTGCAGCGCACTGATCTACTGGGCTGAACTGTGCTTTCTAAACGCCCTGGGCTGCTAGAAATCTGAGGTGTACAGGGGCTCCATGTGTGGATGTTGCAGAAAAAGAGACGGTGTTGGGAAAAAATGCAGGTGGAGAGGAGAGTGTTGAAGGAGGCCCCATTTAAATCATTACCCTGATTTGAAGCCCTCAGGGTAGGTGGAGCTGGACCAGCAGCTGGCAAACCTCCTACTGCGTGTTCCAACGCAGATTATTTTACACACAAGCACCCGTGCACGCTCAACATAAACACCCGTTTAACAAACAAACTCCTCATTAATTTCCATACACATAAACACACACTGCAGGGGTCAGAGAGAAATACTGAAGCGCTCTAAGGGAAGGATGTGCCAAATCCTGCCGCTCCACAGCCTGCTCTGTATGACAGCAACACAAACACCGACACAAACCCTCTGTGCACACACAGATTCAGACACACACGTGTTCAACACATGTTGCAGATTGGAGTTCATGCAGGGGAGCTCTGGTGGCCCCAGAGGGCAGACTTAGAGTGATACGCTCCTCATGCCCCCTCTAATTTCTAACAATATTCCCCCTCTGCTTTCAAAACAACACAGAGAGGACTTATCTAAATTTACACACACACACACCCCACACACACACACACACATTTATTTACCATTAGCTTCAAGGAGAGTTTGCGATTCTGCTCGTTGCGCTGCTTGTTTCTTAGAATTTCTTTAAACTATTGAACGACTGTCAAAAACTTAAAAGCGTAACTTGCGAGAACACACATCACCCACCACCTTTCATGTAGAGTTGCATTCGGGACTAAACAATCCGACCCGAACCCGTATCATTTTTCCAAGCCCGACGCAAAAACGACCAAATAACTGTGATTACAGGCCCGAACCTGGAAAAAAAAACACTTTTTTTTTATTAATCGTTGACTGGTTTTGTAAGGAAATCAGTTTGACATGATTCAAAAACGTATTTCAAAGAAAGGAAGATATAAGATTGTTTATTAACAAGAGCCAGCGGATTATTATAGTTATTATAACATTATAGTTATTATAACATTATAGTTATTA